CAATAGATAAACTAGAATTCAATAAAGATGTCTTAGATTTCACCTTTAATGAACCAATAATTTATGGAGGTATTATTTCTATTTTTAAGAGGATTTTTAACTTGTACTCTTATCTATTTAATTTCTTTAATCTAAATATTTGATATGTAGGTAATAGTTATATACCGACATATCAAGGTCCGAGTCCGATATGGGTAGGTTCATTGCTGGCATATCACATTTGTAATTTCTCGAATGCTTGATTTTGAACCTATACAGGGTGATTCATTAAGAGTACAACACTCATTATCTCAAAAGTATTAATGTTTTTGAAAATATTTTCTTACATAGTTTCAATTTGTTAAAAAAACGACGTTTTTATTAAAAAATTATATTTTTAAATATTTTTTATCCTTATAATTTAGTTTTTTACTTTTTTGAATGACAGCATATAGTTTTAATTTCATATTCCAAAGCAGAATATTTTTTTAAGTATTTTGATGCATAAAAATCGAACTTAGGACGAGTAGTTTATGAGCTAAAGTATTTTAAGTATAGATGGACGGAGTGGAGTGGTATGGGGTTACCCCTTAAAATGTTTATCCACTACTCCGCTTGTCTAAACTTTAAACACTTATAAAGTTATAACTTATAAACTACTCGTCCTAAATTCGATTTGTATGTATCAAAATATTTAGAAAAATATTCTGCTTTGGAATATGAAGTTAAAACTATGCTGTCATTCAAAAAAGCCAAAAACTTAAAAATTATAAGGATGAAAAATATTTTAAAATATAATTTTTTAATAAAAACATAGTTTTTTTAACAACTTGATAGTATGTAAAAAAATATTTTCAAAAACATTAATACTTTTTGAGATAATGAGTGTTTTACGCTTAATGAATCACCTTGTGTGTATTGAAATGCACCAATTTCTTTTTTAAAAATCTTGAAGAGGTAAATATTGAGAAAAAAATTCTATCAAGACAGTATATTAGAGGCTGTAAAGACAGTATTATATTTTATGGTTTGAACATAAAATTGTATCATTCACAGTGAACAGCAAAAGATAAAAATTATATTTTGTTGATTTGTTTTGTTTTATTTGTATAACATTTTACATTATAGATAGCAATTTAATATTAAAAAAGGAAAATAGTGGAAAATTAAAAAAAATAAAAGCAAATGTAATAAATTTTGATCAAAGTGAGGATGATATTCAAACGGCTGAAGAAGTAAAATCTGACAATGATGTATTATTACATGTTGGTAATGAAGCTTCAGCTACGTCAATAACTTCGTATGATACAATCGTAAGATTTATATTACTTATATTAAAAACTATGGTGACGCATTATGTGGCTTTATTTTTAGACTGGTTATTTTATCGGAGAGTTTGAAGATTTGCCATCAACTGAAAAGGAGCTGGAAAATAGGTAATATTGTAGTAAAAATAATTATTTTATACTATCATTAACTATTAAGCCGGATCCACAGTTATATCGTCTGTTGTGTGTGTTTTATCGTATTATGATTTAATCCTGGCATTCAATAACCACAATCTACATGTTGGGCCGAGCTCTACTTTTAAACATGACACGACAGACAATGTAGCTGTAAACTTGGCTTAACTGTTACAAGATGTGTGTTTAATAGATATATGTTATCCTATATAGTATCTAATAAAATGTGTAATATTTATTACCTTGAAGGTTGAGAAAATTAAGCACCATCAATGAAAATACTGACTCTTATGAAGTTTTTGTGCCTGTATCTTCTTTAAGTCCTCCTTGTGACACAGGTACTTAATTTTCATTGTTCATACATTTATGAATTTATTTATAAATATATATATTTATCCATTAATGAGCACAAAATATCAAAATAATAATGAATATTTTAGTTTGTTTGTATTGCACTATTATGCTGAATATTTTCCATTACTTTTAATATTATATTATAATTATAATAAAATATTATTTTTATTTAGATGATGAAAGTAAGTCAATGGGATCTAATGAAGATAGTAATAGTTTACATAGATTTGACGAATCAAGAGATCAATTGTTGTTTTTGGAGAAACAATATCAGGGAAATATTAATGGACTTACAACTAAAATCACTGATTTAACTCGGTAAGTAGAAAATAGAAATGTATAATATAATTTTTCCATTATTACATCAATTTTATTTTTGTTTCACAGTGAAAATGACTTATTGAAACATCAATTGAGGAAATATGTTAGTGCTGTACAGTTGATGAAACAAGATGAAAATGAAAGTGAAGAAGCTAAATTATATCAGCAAAAACTAATTCAAGTTTGTAATTTTTATCCTTCTAGTTAAGTAAATATTATTTAAGCTTTGGAAATTATTGAATAATTAGGTTGCTGAAATGCACAGTGAACTGATTGAACTAAATGGTCGTTTAAACAATCAAATTATAGCAAAAGATCATTGTATTACTAAACTAAGAACAGAATTGGTATCGTTGAGAGGCCCATTACCTTCAGATGAAATACCACACACAAACATACACTTATGGGTTCCATCTGCATTTTTGGTCGGACGAATTAATGACCCACATCATGTATACCAGGTGTGTGAGCGCATGAAATGTGTCTTAATTTATTTACATTTGTTTAAAACTTTACTACTAATTAGTTTATATTAATAGATCCATGTACGAATTCTAAATGAAGAATGGAATGTTTACCGGAGATATTCACAGTTTACAGAATTTCACAAACAACTAAAAAAACAGTATAATGTAGTGTCGACAATTTCATTGCCTCCTAAAAAGACTATTGGAAATAAGGTACAATAACTATAAATTTATGAAGTTGAAGCATAATTTTTTTACATAAATATGTAAAACAGATAATTGTAACTACTCTAATATGCATAACATTTGATAAAGATAGGCACATCTACAGGTTTGGGGGTTCAATCTTTACAACCAAAATATTTCAAATTATTTTTTTTTCAGTTTGACCATACACGATTAATTTAAAATTTTTTTTTATAATGACACTTTCTGTCCTCTCTCTTCACTACCAAAATTGTTTTTCTGTATGTGTGTCTTAGTGACTAACATATGCAAAAATTGTTTGTATATGTATTTAAATATTCTAAAAATACCTATATTCTGTTCAAAATAAGAAACTCAAATGGCGGCGACCAGTTTTCGTTGGCGGCAGTCCGTTACATGACTCCTAGCCCCACCAATTTGTACCGGACGTGTAGTATTGCCATGTCCCTGAGCACAAGTCGGCTGCCATTTGCATTTCTTACTTTGAACAGAGTAGGTATAGTGTGTATTGTTTGAAAATGTACTAATATTGCATTTGTTTTTATTTATATTAAAACATTTGTTAAACCTAAATACTCGAGTAATATAAAAATCAATACATTTTATATTTTGTAGGGTGCCAACTTTGTTGAAGAGCGACGCAAAAAGTTACAAATATACTTAAGACAGATAATGAATTTTTTGATTACGATAAACCGGACATTGGCCAATTCTCCCAACAAGTATAACTTGGTTAATCTAGTACCATTTTTCAGGTATTTTTGTCTTACTTTTACTTATAAAAATAACATTCATGTTAATGTAAATAAATCTTTTTTAGTGAACAATACAACCAAAGTTATAGTGGAAAACTGTCGTGGTTAAATGTGAGTTGTCTGATGGCTCAAAATTCCGTAATAGATTTAAATAGTTCTAGTTCTCATCATCAGTATACTGGCTTATGACATAAATCTCTTAAATTGTTTATATTTATATAATATTACCTATTATAGCAATAATTTTATAATATATTTATTAAAATGTTAAACGTCTGTGATTTATAACGAAATATTTTATCTAATAAATCTTATATAATATTATATAATTAATAAAATATATGTTTTATTTTTTTGACTTTATTTAGTTATTTATTATCGAGTAATACCTTACTTTTTCTGGTGGTGCAGAACAATTAACATTGTACATTTTTTCACAACAAGTTTTGACTATAACAAATTATTGTTTGTAAAACTAATACAAAAGTACAAAGATAATATTATATACAACTATATAAAAAATTGTTCAATAATAAACGGTAATTTGATTATAATTAAATAACTAATAAAATCTAGTTTAAATAACTAAGTCACATCTGTGTAGGTTTATTTTGCTGAAATACTTTTAAACAAAAAAAAAAAAAATCTGTATGGGAGAAACTTAGTCCAAAATAATACTCCAATACAACTATTATAGCACTTAATAATAAATTGCCCAGTGAAATATTACACACATTTTACATTAAGGGGCTGGAGCGTGATTCATTGAAAAAAAAGTTAACTTGACAGAGTTACAAAATTGTATTAACTTGTTGCATAGCTTTGGCTAAAATTATAAAACAAATTTAATCCAAAAGATTGAACGTCATTTGAGTTTCAAATTTAAATTATATATAACGGTAAAAAGGAATAAGCCAAAACAAATAAATTCAAACATACTTAACTCCTAGAATAATTTGTAAATTATAAATCAAAAATTGAATTTTAACTAATAATCAATTTTATGAATTACAAAATAAACATTAATAGAATTATGAATTACAGTAATAACTAGCTGAAATGTAATAAAATATATATTCAAAATATCAATTAACCTATACAATAAAGATAGTGATACTTATTATCTTTATAAATTGTGCAAAAAAATATTGTTTTATAAATTTACTATTTAGTGAACCATTTAAAATAAACAGCTGAATATTATGCATTTTGTAGCTTAACATTTTCTTAAATATTGAGGAAAACAAAATTTTAATTTGTAATATGTATATAAATGTTGTAAATAACATAAAAAATACAAAAGTAACTAAAAGCACATAAACGCTTGAAAAAAAAGGTATCAAATTAAAATGCACAATACAATACTTAACATTTAAAAATTAAAAAAGTAATAAAATACAAAATGAGAAATTAAATAAATATTCAACATAGAAGTATATCTAACTTTTTTTTGTTTATGACTGTCTTTTTGCATTATCAATTGCAATAACTCTTTGTCTTAACATAATAATAGCATTTTTCAGTTTTAGTGCTGGTCCAAGGCTAATGTTTAGTGTATCTGTCAATTCTTCTTCAGTTAACATTAAAAATACATCGCCATCAACGTCCTTTATTTGAAAAAAAAATAAAAGTAAATATACAGTAAACAATATAAATATATATATTTTTTATTGATCATAAGCATCGGCAGCTATGGCCATTAGCATTTTGTAGGAGGGTTATAGTTGGTTGAGGACCACATGTGTGTGGGGTGAGGATTCGTCACTAAAAACTGTGATGGTCACCCATTCGAGAACTACCGGCACCGACCGGCCAATGCTTGATCTCAGAACACTTTAGTGATTGAGGTCAACCACCGAGCTAAATCAGCCCCCAATTTAAAAATAATATATATAAAATTATGTACTACATGTTATAAATAAAAATAAAATATTTATACCTGATTTCTTAAAGATTGAGAAATTCTCATTAGTTCAGAGGAATTATTGTTTGTGTAATTATTAGTTAATAGTCTTTCGACAAAATTAACTAGTTCTTCGATAGTCCATTTTCTTGGATCAGTAGTACTAAATATTGATATACCTTGTAGAACATTTTTATTCATTCCTCCCATTTTTTTGGGTTTGTTTGAGTTATAACTTTTAATTTTATTTAACTTCAATTTTTATTTTTTTTATCCTCTCGAGGTACAATGCTCCCAGAATTTTAAAAACTAGATATACATTTAAATTTATATTAAACAATAAATCATACAAGTATAAAGTAAATACATAGATATATAAACAATTTTTTTTAATTACTTTTCAACTGAAAGTGGAGTGTCTTCAGGTTTTGATCTATCAGGAATATTTATAATAACAGAAATTGATGTTTTCTAGGACTCAAATCATATGGACACTCTTTGGCTAATACATGAGTATTTTTGGAACTTTTTGTATTGCCTTTACCATTAGAGCCAGGAGGCACGAACTCGGCAACTCCAAAGTATTGCGTTTACTAAAAATACATACAAAAATTATCAATTAATTACATTTTTAAAAAATATAACAAAGTTATAAAGTTATAAGTGGGGAAACTTGGAGATTGTACAACTTTTCTTAAGCAGTGGTAACTTTATGTCATTTTTTAAATGGCAAACAGTATATTGTGTCAAAGTCCATTAAAAACGATTGAATAAAAATGTAAATTTTTTTTCTTTTTTATTAATTCCAACACATAATTTCATACTTGTATTCTATTAAACATGTTGTGTTTTGAAACATATTACACCCATGTTCATTGTTCATACTTACTATCTTTTACGATTATAATAGTGTCAAAAAAAAATTATACTCATTGTAACTTCTTCAATCAGCATTGATCAAACACACTATAGTTTGTATGGCATACCGTAAATGAGGGTTTCTTTGCACCAAATTTCTCTTTTTTACAAGTTTCACAGTCTTTTAGGTATGAACATGAAGAATGATTTTGTGCAACAAAAATTTGACTAACTTAAAAATTGATTAAACAATTTTTTTTTAAAAAGTTGGTGCAAAGTTAACTATGCTATAGGGTTACATTGCACCAACATCAAAAATGCATTAAATTTTCATGTTTATATAACACTGGAGCAAAGTATCCTTATACAATTTGACTATAGGTATATACTTCAACATTTAAAAGAAAAATAATGGATAAAACAGTTTTTCTTGAATAACAATGTGATAAAATATAAAAAAGTTAGAATTGACTAATCAAATTATTATTTTTTTAAATAGTTAAATTAATTTTTTATTCCCACATCTGACTCGGTTAGATATCTAGGACTAAACTTCGATAAGCGTCTCACTTGGAACAGCCTTATCGGTATAAAAAGACTTGCATTAAACGCCCGTCTTCGCAGACTTCAAACGCTACTCACAAACAACAAACACTCCAGTCTAAAAATTAAAGTTATTATATATAAAACCCTACTCAAACAGTCAAACCTCTATGGACATATGGTCTCCAATTATGGGGCACAGCAAAAGCGTCCAACATTAACAAAATTCAGCGATTTCAGAATATTGCTGTTAGGAAAATTACTAATGCTCCACCATTTGTTTTGAATTACACTATACATAATGACCTGTCAATTAAAACCGACACAGAAAAAGCTACACATTTCTACAGAATCCTTCATGCCCGGCTACAAAACCCACCAAAATCCACTCATTAAAAACCTATCCACGCAAACATTACCTGGCAAGCCCAGGCGTCCGCTTAAAAAGTAGCTGGTGCCGTGACCTACTAGGGAACTAATTTCAAAAAAATGAAAACAAACAAAAAAAAAAAAAAAAAAAACAATATATGTAAATATAGCTAGCTTCATACAACTTCCAGTCAAGTGCCACTAATGGGTGGCTTCTTAATCACGTACTTATGTATTATTTTTTAAACCCCTATCAAATAATATTCTAATTGTGCATAATTTTGTACAGATTGTATATAATATTGTGTAAAATAAAAATAATAAATTAATTTTTGAGTAACTATTAAGTAATAATTGAGTCTTCTAACAACATTAGATAGGTAGGTAGGTATCATGTAACAATATAAAATCAATACAACATATTGTAAAAAAAATCAAAACCAAATATTGGTTGGTGCAAAGTTAGCAAAAAAAAAATCAAATTTCAATATATTTCGCTATTTAAATTTATTAACATAATAAAACAATGTCAACTCGATTAAAATTATACATAACTTTAGGGCCGTTCTTACAATGTCCGGTTAAAGTTAACCGACACTTAACCGGCCGAATTCTGCCGGTAATAAAATCGGTTATCAGACGTTTAGTGTTAACCGACACTTTACCGGACATTGTAAGAACGGCCCTTAATCTGCACTACATATAATATATAATTTTGAATGTCTTACCAGTATAAAAAAATTTTGTTGTTACGAAATCTGCCGATTTTGTGTGAAACGGTTTTGGTGTTTTTGATAACACGGCTTATCACTTAAACACCGTTTGGAGGTAAATCAATGATTTGAAGTTGTATACGAAACGGCTGGTTGTAAATATTGTGAGGATTAATACGAACAAAATAAATTGATATTGCAATGTTAACTAGCCTGGTGCAAAGAAATCCTCAGTTACGGTTTTCTAATTATTGGTAATTGGTATTATCAATTTCAAAATCAGTTAAGATCTTTTAGATTCTGAGAGCTCCTAAGAATGTATTTATTTTACATTGATGTGTGTGTGTGTGTTTGTTGATGTGGAAACATCTTATGTGCCATGTGGCGTTCAGACTATTCCGCATGGGCAGTGAAATTTTTCAAGCGTTATTCGAGCATTACCCTAAACGCTAGCGCTGATTTTTGGAGACTCGGTGTGACGCAACGATAGGCCGACTTGTGCTCAGGGGGCGTGGCTTCATTACGATCGCAAAACACACTGAAAATTATTTTACCTCCAACAGTCTTATTTGGACGTCGTGCTGGACGAGCCTACAAATGCCATAGATCCGGTGGTAAGTATTACTGTTGCGGAGCCACTGTTGTTCATGTATTTATTCGATATCTACGTCGGTGATAAGATAACATAAATACAATAATGAAAATTCTAACACGTCCTACAAAAAAAAAAAAAAAAAAATAATAATAATAATTTATTAAACTTTATCTATATACATTGTCCATGTATAGGAATTCCCGCGTTGTATATAATTGTATCTTTAATAGTTTAATATCAATGATCTTTATTACCATCAAGTGTCACTTCGAATATGGGTCGTATTATTATTACCTCCATATATCGACCTACACAATTTGTATTACTGTTAATACTGTAGTCTTTAGTATCTGAACATTAATGCTGCAGGTATTTATTTTGTTGCTAGTGTATAAATGTCAAAACATTATTAAAAGTATAAGTAATATACGTATAGTATTAATTATTTTGTATAATATGTCTTTTGTGGTGCCAAAAAACAAGGCAAATAAATAAAACTAAATTTTCTTAATTTTAGGATTTTTTAGCAATAGCATTAAAGATAAATTTGAATTATTAATTATTATGAATTATGTTCGGGTAATGAACTGTAAAAAAAAAGTAACAAAAAATATTGAATTAAAATTAATTATACTAATTTTATGTTGTATTATATTTTTGTAGGACGTATTAGATAAAGTTTAATAAATTATAATTTTTTTTTTTTTTTTCGTAGGACATGTTAGAATTATCATTCTTACATTTTTTGTTATAAGTATAATAATTTAGATTTGGATATAAAAATTACAATACTCAATTTTATTATTTACTTTTATTAATAATAATGATTATAATATTTAAATTCACGCGGTAATTATTTAAATGTTATCTTATCACACACGTAGATATCGAATTAATGCATGAACAACAGTGGCTCCGCAACAATAATACTTGCCACCGAAACTATGGCATTTGTAGGCTCGTTCATGCTGGCCGTCAACCTTGGAGGTACGTCGAGATCGGAATTCGTGCCGAGCGAATTTTCTATGGAGATAATGTTTTTGGACTTGTGATTTTTTTCCAAATTTTTCGAAAAAAACCTAAAATGTCAATGAACTCGATGGCAAATTGCGCGATGGGAGGACTGAGTCCGGGAAACCGGCACTCCAAGAAACTTTCCTACTGTGAAAAGAACACAATTTAAACGCTTTTCCCACATCCGTGGCTCTTGTCCGCGATCTGAGCCACTTAGAAATTCAGCGCACCATAAAATACGCACCCAGCTAGCAAATATATTTCGGAAAAAAAGTTTTTATAATTTTATGTATACGAAGAAGTACAATGCTTGGGATACACTGAAGGTAATATAGATCAAAACAGGAGGGCTGATATAATAATCCTCAACCGAACAAAAAACAAAGGTTTGATTCTGGACCCAACGCTCCGATGGGAAACATACGTCGTCAACCAAGACAAATTAGTCGAATGAAGAGAAGAAATCCATCTATGAGACAGCTATCCACTCTTTCCAAGAGCAGTGTCATATTATAAACAATTTGTATATTGATGGCCTTTGGTTAGGGCTACGTGGAACCGTATCTCTCCTACTCAGAGACTTCTTAAAAAAAAAAAATGTAATAGAATTAAGAGAACTAAAAGAAATTACGTAATTAGCATATTGCTTTCATTTTATTATTAAACTAGACCGTATTTTAAGCATTATGTTGAATGTTCTATCTTTGTATTTTAGGATCACTCCATATTATATATTATAGGTACAATTTTAATTTGCCAACTTCATTCGTTTAATTTATTTATGCTATCTGTATCTTAAAATTTTGCAACAACTATGTTTGAAGTGCCTTTGACATTGTGTCATACAGGCAAACCGATTGAATCATTCTTATCTACCTACCTATTTATATTATAATATTATAATGTAGTCAGCAGTCACTACGCACTAGACGGACTCATATTAGTTGCCTCCGGAATTTTAAAAGTCAATAATTATTACACGAATTGCTTCCAGACTATATACCTACAAGTTGCCTCCCGACGTACCCTAAATGACAATTGTAATCGTACACGAAAAGGGTCTAGTAGGTACTAGCAGGGGTACGAAACTCCGTGCGTTAGTCGAATCAGGCGATTGC